GGGAAAGAAGAGAAAAATACCAATATTTCAGATATAGCTACATCAGAGCCCTACACAGAAGAAAAAAACCCATTATCTCCCAGTTAGAGTGTGATTTTTACATTTGCAGCCCTAAACTGAAAAGCCCTTTCTTGCTTCTACAGTTTATTTCAAAATCATGTGTGACTTACTGTTCATTATTACTCTAGGACTAGTATTATTGCTTCCCTAGTATCCAAAGAGTCTCTGCTTTGGATTATTTCCTTTTGGAATTATTAGCTTGCTTTTAAACAAGATAACTACCATTGTTTTGTTTTCTGTCCATATACCGAAACTCTTTAGAACCTTCAGTATTATTCCTAATTTTTGCTGGTGCTTAAAACTTCCCAATATAGCATCACCCACCATGCACTCCAACAGGCTGCTAGCCACCTTTTCTGCATCATCTATTAAGAAAACACAGTAAATAAGATATTAACTCTGAGTACAACTACACAGCAGAGCTATTTCAGGATAACAACTGTTATCCTGAAATAGCATTCTGCAAATTTTAACAGCAAGCCCGTTATTTCGAAATACATTCAAAATAATGGGTGTCTTATTCTGGCTTATTGTAAACCTTGTTTCACGAGAAGTAAGGAAGATGTCAGAACAGGGATTTATTTTAAAATCAGTGTGGTGTCGACAGTGCCAAATTTCAAAATAAGCTACGCAATTTGCATAGCTCAAATTGTGTAGCTTATTTTGAGGTACATGCTACTGTGTAGATGTACCCTCTGAGAGCAGTATCTAACAGTGCAAGTGCCACTTGTTTCTCTACCTGCTTCTCCCTACCATAAGCATCACTTCCAGTTTTTAGTTATAGTTTGCTCTCATCCACATTTTGATCATGGTGAGTTATTTGGAATTTAAAGAAACTATTGGATCCAGGTTTGATAAAAATGAGACCCAATTTTCATTGATGGTATGTGCTAGTTTACCTCCAATAAAGTCAATCAGGTAACATCAATAGTGTATATTTTCTTAGTAGATAAGTATCAGCACTATATTGATGACACTGCAGCTCAGTCTCTCAGCCTCCCCTAGTAGCTTACACAGACATTGAATTGGAGGGTGACAAGATGGAATCCTGAAAATCTCCACATTAGGGCTCTAACGGCAGATAAACAATTGCCCATTTCTACTTCTTGGCTCTCTGAGGGTATGTCTACACTACAGCACTAATTCAAACTAACTTAATTTGAATTAGTTAATTCAAACTAGTGCATCTAGACCTAAAAACTAGTTCGAATTAGCATTTTGCTAATTCGAACTAGCATGTCCACATTGAGTGGACCCTGAACCGAGGTTAAGGATGGCCAGAAGCAGTGCCGGCAGGGCATCAGATTAGGACTTAGAGCGTGGAGCTGCTGTCTCAGGCTAGCCGAGGGCTGTGCTTAAAGGGACCCAACCCCCACCCCGGACAGACAGTTCTAAGGGTTCCCCACTTGCTGGTCTACCTCGATGAGGGACAGCAAAGCATTTGTGTCTCGGAGTGCTCTGCTTGCCCTCACCCGGGGCACCACGGCACTCTGCAACATGGAACGAGACCTGCTCCCAGGGACTCTGCTGCATCTCATGGACACGTTGCCGGCAGGCTGGCTGCACTGTTTGCAGGCTGCCATCCGGGAGGACCATTGAGGGGATGTCAGGATCCAGGGGGCCCTATGGGAGAGCTTCCACGTGAGGAGCACTAACAGTCTCCCCGGTCTGCCCCACCGGGGGCTTGTGCCCCATGCCCCCCTCTTGTCATCAATAATTAGATCAATGATTATTCCCGTCTTTAATCGGTCCATCTCACAGACCATAATATCCCAAGAACACCCAAAACTGCATGAAAGTTAAGTAACAAACTGTGAGTTTATCTTTTATAGTGGTGAAGCAATATTACTCCAGATGCATGAGATACATTAAAAATACTACCAAAATTAGCTTTCTGATAACCAAAACGTATTTACAACCAGCATATAAAGGAGGCATGATAAAGATAATGAAAGGGGGTCTGAACTGAATAAGGTTTAAAGGTGGAAACCTGAGAAAGGAAGCCTGGGAATGAGCATGTGAAGTCAATGTCATTGTCTAAGACCTGCCATATGAACAGGCTTTTTCCTTTTCCTGCTTCCAAATCGACCATTTCTTTCAACATATGAGAGGCAGGATCCCTGCTAGCCACAGAAAGTTTACAATCAACTGGACATTGCATACTACAGGAAATCTAGTTCCCAACAAGCCCCCAAAGTTCCATTATCTGCTCCAAAACAATTCCATTATGCAATATTTCTAGGAAGACCTTTAAGTCTCCAAATCTTCACCTGGAGACACTTGAAGAATTCACCATCTACAGGAAAAGCACTACTATACAAATAAATCTGAAGTATTAAAAATGTTTATTGCTTTATACAAGTTGTGGGCAACCTGTGGCCCACATGCGAGCCATCAGGATAACCTAGCTGTGGGCTGAAAGACGTTTTGTTAATGTTGACTGTCTGCAGGCACTGCCTTCTCTGCTCCCATTGACTGAGAATAGAGAACCATGGCTACTGGGAGTGTGGGGAGCAGTGCCTATGAACAGTCAACGTTGGGAAAATGTCGTATGGCCTGCAATCAGATTAACCTGATAGCCTGCAGGTTGTCCACCGCTGCTTTAGACTATAGTCTCATATTCTTAGAAAACTCCAGTGTTCTACAACCTCAGTTACAAGCTAATTTTTCAGCATAAATGTAAACTGTCTTTGACAGATCCTTAACAAAAACTCTGTCAGATGCATTTCAAGGCAAGTCTTCCCATTGTGTTTAGCAGGGGATGAACAGAAGGTAAAACACTTACATTTCTTATAAGCTATAACCTCAAGAAATTCAAGGTATTCCCTCATCTCCTTCATTTTAGAGACTGCACAAATGCATTTTTTATTAGTGACCTCTGCTTATTACTCGGTTACATGTGATCTATCCAGGTGTCTCTAAAGAGAAACAAAATATGCTAAACAAGAAACATGAACTAAAAAGTTTCCCAGTTGCCTCATGCTGTGAATCATTAAAAAGTGTGAAATGACAGACTTTCACCTGGTCCATTTCAACATTATATGCCCGTGGAGCTCTGAGTATTGCTTGAAGCAACAGGATGAGGGCCTATCTTTGTTATTGGCAATTCACATGTGGACTCTCTCCAGAACATAAATTATATCCAGAATGCATCACATGTCTGTTAGACAACAAAGACTTCTGTTTCTTTAAAAACCTGGCAGATCACTGCTACATTATCTTGTCTCAGATTTGGAAGAGAAGCCTAATACTTTTTGTATTATAAGAAAAGCCAACCTCATTATGAGGATCTCATATGTGGACCCTTCCTCTCGGTCTCCCAGTACATTATACACTGTCTATTTAGCAGGTAAGGTGTAAGGGGCAGAAATTATCTCTTCGTCTGTGTTCTGTACAGTATCAAACAGAGTCAGCACTTACATAAAAATTGGGTGAAATCTTCACTTGTGCTCTGTCCTGTTACACAAGGTAAAAGGATTGAAGTGATTTAAGAGGACCCTGAAAGCTCATACTGACTGGCAGAGAATCCCCTGGTTGAGGAACTGTGTGAAACCACTGTAGATCAGTGGTCTACAGTATACGTAAAGCTTGATAAACAATAATGTGAATAATTCATTTACTTACACGTTTTTTTCTTCCACCAAACAACATAAATGTCTGATGTGAGCCAGAGTAATGCTAAAAGAAAACAGGTTATATAACCTACCTCAGTGACCTTGTCAGAAGGCTCTAGTCCAATCAAATTGGCTTGTACTAGCTGCTGTAGAAGTCGTACTTGAGCTACGCTGAGGAAGAAGTCCAGGTTTGTGGTCATATTCACCTCCAAAGAATGTCCGCACACTAAAATATCCTGTCAAGAAAAAACATGTCAGAAACTGGCTGGTAGGCAGATAATTTACATTTTAAAGACGACTATACTGCAATTCTCTTTTATACCCAATTTAAGACATTTACACCATGTTACAATAGTGATAGAAATGTAGCCATG